AAATATGGGCAATTGCGGATTTTGTCGGACATTTCGGAAATTTGCATTCTGGGCGAAATTAGTATCGCCCAAATTTCGGATTCGGATTTGGCGAAACATTAATTCATATGGTATATTATTTATAATTAGTAATAATTCAAGTTATTAATAAAATTATTTATGAATTAATTGCTTGCATATAAACGCGTACAGGCTGAGCTTGAGCTTTTTTTGGGAGTTTCACGCCTTCTTTGGTGCTTCAAAATTGAAAATGCTTCACCACTGGGTAAAGATGGCAGACCAACGCCGATTAATCTTGAAAAGGCATGTCAAGGTGCTACCGTATGGTCCGAAAAGTATCATATTAAGTTTATAAAAAGGCATGACAATGTTGAAAAAGTTTTATTTGGATAATCTTTTTCTCTCATCAAGTCAAGTTATTTAGTCAAATGAATTAGTTTAAGTTTCAATCTTAAGGTTTTCACTGTTATAATTCATTTTATCTTTTTTATTGTTCAAATAAACTTTGCTATCTAATATCGTGATTTGTACTCATAAATTATTTATAATTTAAAATTTTAACTTGTGATATAAAATTGTACAAACTGCTTTTTTAAAAAACGTGTATATTGAAGTAATACTCTAATTCTCTCTATTTTCAAATTCGTTCCAATAGCACAAACTTTCAACAAGCGCTATGCAGAAGCCTATTATAAATTTGCAGACGATGGCAGACTTAATATAATTTATGACCTAATACTAAGAGTGAATGGTAAATTCAAAATTGCTTATCGTTATATAATATAGTGTGATTGGACCCGGGTAGGTGGCGTGTAACCCGGGTGGAAACAGGTGGGTCACCCGACGGGTGACCCGTGAACAATAATTACAATTGCGAAATGATCCTTTGCACAAGACTTTACTAAACTTCAATCCAAATGTGCATTTGTTTGTATATTATGATAATTGCTTTTTTTTTTTAAAAAAAAAAAACAAAAAAAAAAGACTTTTCAAAAACGGACCTTATATTAATTAGACTAAGGGTGTTCTCAAGCACCCACTCAATGGATCGGAGGTAACTTTTTATTTCACTGAGATACAACCCATCTTTTTTTATTCAAAAATTTACCATTGATAACCATTTTTACATATCAAGAATATTAAATAATGAATTATTAGTAAATTTCTACCCGATTCAAAAAAAAATTACTATTTTATTTTTAATGCTAGACTTTTAAAACAGGCTACCAAGGATATGACTATTACAGTACATTTGTATATACAGGCATGCGTAACAACAGGGGACATCTATTTTCACCCAGGTGACTCATGAGTCACCCAACGGGTTGCTTTTTTTAACCCACCTCCGGGTGGCATTTTTTTTGACGGGTCCAATCACTAATATAATATACGGAGCAATTTACTGTTGCTGTATTGAATGCGATTAATTATTTTCAATTTCAAATAAACCCTTTTAATGTCTGAAGCTTTATACGTATTATAAAAATAGAAGTTAATTGCATTTACTTCGCCATTAAATGAAATAATTATTTTTTGTGATGATTATAATTGATTGTTATTTCTACGTTCATAACAAAATTTATCATAACTGAAGTCTATTATTCAGCACCCGTAAATATTATTAAACAGAGTAAAAGTATAAGGTTATTTAGTACTTGTGACGCATAGTAGTTAAAGTTGAAAATTAGGGACCTCAATTTAAATGTATAAATCCTACTAAAATCGACTTATATTCCTAAACTATGTCTATGAACGCGCATAGTATCGCCACCAAATCGCTTTTTAAATTTCAATCTGCACAAAAGAATAATAAAATCACGAGGTTACGAGTTTTTTTTTTTATTTATTTAACTTATTAGAATTTATTTAATTATCGTTACATGTTCTAAATAATTACCGTTTAGCACTGTATACAGTACCCGGGGTCTTATTCAAGAATGCCATTTATAAAATTGAATAGTACCGGGTACTATTCACGAATCCAGCAATTTCATTGGTGAAGAAGGGGGATACTTTATGTGGTAGGATATTATTCGAGGGGGATACTTTATACAGTGCTAAACGGTACACTCAATTCAAGTGTATAGAATGCATTTACATCCAAATTCAAATTTTATTTAATACAAATATAAAACTTCAAATTTGAATTTTTATTCTACAATTAAAAGTTATTTTGTTACATCCACTCCCATTTTTTCAATAGGTTTAAAGTTCGATTTAATACTTCAAAGACATTTTTTTTTGTTTGGGAAGATTATTAGACTTTTCAGTGCCTAAACCATAAAATTAATAAATAAATTTATTTAAGCATGGAAATATAATAAAAAATTTTTTATACCTCAAGAAGAATTTTCTTAAAATTCTGATTCACTATCTTTTGAATTTACCAGATCGATCGTTAAATTGACTTGTGTAATTGATTAAGTTTGATACTCGAATATTTTCCCATAAAGTTTCTTTAGTTTCCGTACTATGGGGATATTTAGAATTGCATAGCACCTAAATTAATATAATATTAGATTTAAAAATTTTAAACCATGATGTAATGACAATAAACTTGCAAAAGCTTCATCTATTTTAATATTGAAATATCTACAACTATCCCAAGATCCATATACAAATTGCTTTCTCATTCAACATCCATAAGTTTTTCATAAACTATTTATTCAAGCACTTTGGATTTTATAGCATTTTCTTTTTGCTTGCGAATATCATTAAAATTTGATCCTCACGTTCCTATTTTTTGCTTTCATTTACACGGGTTAAACCATGATTTATTATTATTTTGAAATGCAGTATTTGGTTTCGTAATTCGACAAGATGAACAAAGTTGTATGTGTTTATTTTAGAAAATATCGATTACGATATTCAAAGGAATAAAAATTTTCATCGTCAAAATTTGTTATTATTATTCTTAAATATGTTATTAATCAAATGCCGTCATTATTGTATAAACCATTAATTTAATATCGGCAATAAATTTATACGTAACTGATTTTGATGGCGAGTCTGTATCCCATTTGAAATTCACGAAGATTCTATTTGATGTACTGTACAATACAGAACAACGCCATATATATATCAAATTAAGCTCAGATATCCAAACATGCCTAACTACTAGTGTGTATAAATATTTAAATTTAATTTAAGTAGTTTTTGCCCTAATTCTAACTCAAATATAATTAATTTTCTAATAAACACTTGGATTTTTGGTTTTTTAAATACTTTAGATTATAAGACAATTTGTTGTTAATCGCTATTTTTAGATTCAGATATAATATTATTTATGCTTGTATTTTAAATCCCAAATTTAGGGAATTTAAATAAAGATCAAATTCCAAAAATCTACCGAATTGAAATGTTTAATTTACAATAAATATACTTAATAAAGTTAAATATATAAAATTTTAATATAATATTTTTATAAATTTGGATTTTTAAATAGACTTTTATTAAAAAGCACCTATGATATTTTACACCTATGTATTATTATCTCAAAAATTGGCTAATTAATCGATGCAAGATATCCTGAGTAAAAATGCTCTACGCCCCTAAAAACCCTTCCCGAACTCTAACTTTAACCCTAAATACTAACACTAACATGAAAATTTTGTGTTGAAAATTTTTATTTTCAAACTTAGAAATCTAAAAAACATAATAAAACATATGATAGGTGCAAAACCACCATAGGTGCGTTTATAATAAATGTTTAAATAAATAAAGAATTTCTAATAAACTAGTTATGTAAAAATGAATCAAAATTTATTAAATTTTATTATCTATTTAATATATAAAAATAATTCAAATTATCGTTATAAATTATTATTATAAATGATTAATATATATATATTTATTAATTATATACATACCAGAGCTTCCAGTGCTATCAGAAACATGAAGGTTCATTAAAGAAGAATCTAACAAATAATATAATATTAATATTGAATTTAACAAAAAACAACTTAATCAAATGTTCAATATTAATTATACCCCCAAATCCACTTGATACTTTTCGTGTTTCAATGATTTTACTCGTGTACATATGATCCGGATTATTTTGAGGGATTATTGGTAATGCTTTGATAATTTCATCAGCATTTATGAACTGTTTTTTGATTTTGTTTTCATTATCTGAAGCTAAATAAGAAAGCCAGTCTTCAATTTTACCATTAATAACATTAGCTTTAGGTCGTTGTTCTGGATCTGAATTCATGCACCGATTTGCTAATTCAATATAACAATCAGGAGTTCCGGAAGCAAACTTTGGTCGCAATCCATTGCAAATTTCGATTGCAAGATCCGTATTAAAATTATAGCCATCAAAAGGTCTTTGACCAGTTGTTATTTCAGCCATAATAACACCAAAGCCATAGATATCTGCTTCTTTAGTAAACTGTTGTTTTCCTGATAAAACTTCTGGTGCAACATAAGGCATGACCCCAAAAATAACACCTTTTGCACTATTCTCATCTGCCTTTTTAGATAATCCTAAATCTGAAACATAAGATGTACCTTTATTATGAAGAATGTTACCACTATGAAAGTCTGCATGAATATACCCAGCATCATGAATATCTCTTAGATCTCTGGCTATATCTTTAAGCTGTTTCAATTTAAATTCCCATGTAAGGCTATTTAAATTTGATTGTAAAAACTTGCATATATTTCCATCATCTGCATGCTGAAATACCATGAAGTATTCATTATCTTTTGAGTTATAAGTTAAACCATATATCTGAAGTTTACTGCCGTATAATTTACACTTCACATGATTTTTAAACTTAAAGATTATATAAAAGCATTAGCAGTTAGTTCAATAAGCTATTACGTAAGTTATCGAATATAACTTAAACCTACTTCGTTTATAAAGTCAACAAAATTTTGATTTGTCTTTGAACCGGACAAGGTCTTGAGCGCAACGATGCTACTTGATTCACGTGATCTCATATAGGAATAGTCGTCACCATTAATTTTTCGTATGCCATCCAACCAGGTTGCTTTATATATAGATCCAAATCCGCCTTCTCCAATTTTTATAATATTATCTAGTCTATCAAATGAAATCCATTCAATCATACTTTCATATGCAAAGGTTCTAAGTTGAAATGCTTTCATAAAATCATCAATATCCTTATTTCTACTTGTCCACTGTGTTGCTATGTATGGGTCACATGATAGACACCATGCTTTATCCGTGTTGTCCTCATTACAATGTGCACACTTTCCATATTTAGATTTTCTTTAAATCATAAAAATATGTTAATTATTTCATCATTTACCATACAATTGCAAATAGTTTTTATGCTCACCGTCTAAATTAACGTAAAAAAAAATAATTCTAAAGCATTAAGTCATGATAAATAAATATTTATGATTTTGTGATCTTGTTTTAC